CACCAGAGGAGCTGGAGAGGCAGAGGTTGTTTTTGCAAGAGCCAAAGGAGATGTCAACCTGTTCACCAAAGCTGAAGAGGATTAAATCCCCACCTTGTCCACAGCTTGTAATTCACAGTGTCTGCCTGCAGCAGGTTTCCTTGTGTTTTGGGATGGGTTTTTGGGATACAAAGAGCCTGCAACCACTGAGAAGGTCACAGCTGCCACCCTCAGGAACTGCCCCAGCCCTTCAGTGCTGCTGCAGGAACATCAGCCCTGGAACACAATAACCCTTGAGCCCTGATTTGGCACCATTGTACCATTTATTTATTAAAATGGAAAAGCCCCCAAAGAACATGCAGTGTTTTCTCATGGTTTGCTGTGCTGCAGGTGATGTTGGGTGAGAGGGAGGTGGGAGCAGGTGAGGTGACATGGAATGATGTGCAGGGTCTTGTGGGGAGAAAATGTAGCTCATTAAAAGCTTTATTGCTCAGATCCAGTTCAGGAAACTGCTCCAAGAAGGGACACAACCCATGCTCATGTGTCTGGGACAGGTAAGGGTGAACAGAGAAGTGGAGCTGAGGGTGAGGGAGCCCTGGAGCAGGAGCTGGAGCTGTCAGGTGCTTCCTGCTGCCAGTGGCTTGGCTGTATTTTTAGCAGAATCTCTGAGAGCACAGGTGGTCACTGCTGCTGTGGCTGAAACAGCAGGTGGTTTGGAGGGTGGTTTAGGAAAAGAGTGAGTTGTAACTTCTACAAATGCTTTTGATCCTGCTCCCACAGGACTTCTACAAGGGAGAAAATCTGCTGTGCTTCAGGGGTGTTCCCAGGCAGGGAGCTAAGCCTGGCTTGCTGCTTGTCCCAGCTCCTCCTCACAGCTCTGGTTTCCTGATGTTTAGATGCTCTGCAAAAAGTGGGCTCAGGGATCCCAGTGAGCCTGGAACTAACATTGGTGACAGATACAGCCTGTGCTGCCTCTGCAGGGGCTCACAGACAGGCAGGGAAATGAGGAGATGCCTCCTTTAATGGAGCAGTGTGCCTAGCTCTTGCACGTTGCCCTGACACTGTCATCCTTGGTGACTCACTGGGCACCAAAGAAGCTGTCACTTCCCATGAAGTGCTGCAGACTGTGGATGTTTTACTGGAAGGGAGGAATGAGCTCTGTTCTCAGTGGTGTGTGGAGATGTCACACCTACTGCTGATTCATCTGGTAACTGGATGAAGTCATTAAATGACGAGGGGAAGATTAGCAGCAGTAAAAGATCCTTGGCACCCAGTCACACACCCAGCTAAGGAGCTCCCAGGAGGTTCTAGCTGTCAGGTGAGTGCAAAGCCAAAACATCCCAACACCAGCTTTGCTGTTCTCCCTGCTAAGCAGGGAGGTGGATTAGACCAGTTGACATTTTCCCCATATCAGGTTCCTCCATTTCCCAAAACCTGAGTGTGCAACTTGTGGAGCTGCTGCAGGCAGGGCAGGAGCTGGATGTGGAGAATCTTCCTCTTCTGGGCAAACCCCCACTTACAGCTCTCCAGAGGAGCCAGCTGTAGCAGGGGGGTAAATCTCTTCTTAGATTTGTAAGCTCCCTAAGTACTTTTCAGCCAGTGATCTCATTATGCTGGAAGGAATCTAGGATAGCTATGGAAACTTTCACCAATGTTATTCCAGAAACACCTTTTGGTTTTGATTTGCAGTGGGTATGTTTGAGTGTGTTCCCTGACACAACTGTCCTTTCAGGACTCACCTTTATGTGTGCAAGGATTGCCAGAGCTGAACCAGAATTGCCAGCTCTTGTTCTCTGAACAGAACACAAGGAGCAACAACAACTCCCCTGGGTCTGTGTGTCTCTTTCCTCACACTAGGTAGGCAGCCAAGTGAGCAATTCGCTTCCTGTTTTTAATTTAAGATGCATTAGAAAAGTGGTTCTGGCAGGGCTGGGGTGGCTCTCCAGGGGAGCTGGGAGCCTCAGCCAGAGCAGAGCTACCAGAAAGCAGCAGCTCTGTGCCCAGGGAGGGTGAGGAACCACCTTTGGTACAACAGGCTGCACTGGTGGCCTCTCAGACTGATACCTTTCCTCTTCTCAGGGAAATAAATGTGATTATGTCCCCTCAGTGCTGCAGAGGGTGAGTCCAGAAGAGAGTTGGCTCCAAACTGGAGCTGAAAAGAGGCTGAACACAGTCCAGAAGAAAAGCCCTTGAAGCAGGCAGGAGCTGTGACTTTCTGTGACCCTCACCCTTCTGCTGCCACCAGCCCAGCAAACCAGGGGACACACAGGTAGGTGAGGAGCAGCTGTACAAGTCCCCCTGCCACCACATCTGCTATTTTATTAAAC